CCCCAAAACCCCAAAACCCCAAAACCCCATATCTTCAATAATTTATTGAATTTAGCCTAAAATGAAAATAACAAAGCTCAAGGGGTTTGAAAATATGGATAAAGACCTGTACAGTTTAAATATGACACAGAAGATCAGAAACTCAGGTTTCCACACCAGGAGCAAAACGGTCTCTGAAGATGGCAGCCAGGGCACTGAGAAGAGGAAAACCATCAAGCTTGACTCAACGAAGAATAAAAATAAATTGATCGGGTTGATTAAGAAAAGTCAGTTTAATAAAAGTGCAGAACTTGCTAAAAGTCTTATAAATAAATCAAAATTCGAACGTGTTAGAAACAACGCAGAAGCTAGGATGAAGAACTTTACCAGAATCAAAAAGTCTCTTGAATCTCAGAGGAAAATATCAACCGAGAGTGGCCATAGAAGGTATTGTGTTCACAAAGTGTTTTGGAAAAGTTAATCTCTTTAGAAAATAAGGGTTTCAACAGACACTTCCATAAATTCAGTGATTACAAATCTGATGAGAAAAATAGCTCAAATCATAAGTTATCAGTCCAGGTGGAGAACTGCCAGCCAGGAGACTTAGACCTCAGAGATTACGCTTCAAAATTTAATTATTTCTCCAAAAGAACCAGGACTAAAATATCAAATAACTTAAAAACAGATAATTCTGGAGCTTTCAGAACTTTCCAAAGGGAAAATCAGAAATAAACTGAGGTCTAAATCTAGAGAAAACAATGTAATCATCCACCACAGGATAGACCTGATCCGAGAGATGATTGAAGAGAAGGAACTACAGTGCTTGAAAGTGTATGAAGACTGTATGAGAGGTGAAAAATAAGTATCAATATGAATTCCTCAACACTATAAAGGAGTATAATATCGACTTAATTGAAAGTTTTAATGAAATTAAAGACTTTCAGAAACCCCCAATGGATCTTATCCAACAGATCATCCTTTCATTGAATAGTAATTATGGAAGGTTTGAAAATTTTCATAAATTAGAGCTTCTTTACAAAAATAAGGCTCTTGAGAAAGCAAATGAGGATTATTCAAGCCTAGAAAAATCAAAAAACATTATCTATAGCCCTGACCAAGAAATGTCCTCGTTTGAATAAAGATGAGGCTTATAGATGGATCTATGGAAGAGTACATGTCTCAACAAGGTAATTCCATATAATCTCTGTAGAAATAATGAAAGCGCGAACTAACAAATTACTAAAGGAGGCAAAATTCTCTGAAGTTGATGGTGACCTTAATCGTCTCTATGATTTCATTGTTCAAAATAGTAGCTTGCATATCCTAGAGAACAAAATGAATGCAAGAGCGACTCCTTTCTCAAGTTTTCAGGATGAACTCAAATCAAAAGGGAAAAGAATGTGTGTAGATACACTGTCAATAATGATGAAGAGGTATTTATGTTAAAAACTTTTAGGTTAATCAAGCCCGATCCAATCATGAAGGACAAAGACCTCCAAGTGGACTTCAATTGAGTCATAGAAACAGAGCTCAGAGAGCTCAAAGTTATGTATGAGCATCTTGAAGATCAAATAAAAGCAAAAGATATGCTCTTAGGTAGACTACAGGATCAAGGTATGCTTCCTCATAACTTTTCCTTTAGTGAAAAATCAAGCTAAGGAGAAAAATGATTTACAGGATATCATTTCTAATTTACAAGAAAAACAAGACGAACATGACAGCAAGGTGAAGACTTTACAGGAAGAATTTAAGAAGAAGATAAAGATTATGAACGAACTCTCTAAAGATTTGCTCGAACTCCAGAGAAAGCTTGAGATGAAGACAATGCAAATCCAACGCAGGGAATTAGACTTGAAAGAGCTCAGAGAGAAAAGTCGCCAAGAGATTGAAGAGTTTAAGCTAAAAATTAAGAAGCTTGGCAATCAGCTTCATGTCAAAAATGCAGCACTTACTAAAGTAAAAGAGGATACGGAGATTTTGAAAAAGAAATTAGCTGATAAAGGTATGCCTCTAAGTAAATTTTTAGAACCTTCAGAATCAAGCTTTGATTGGGACCTTATTCGGAAGAAACCAGTGGAAGAGGGGATACAGACTGACATGACATCTGCTCAGATAGTTGATATGCTGAAAGAGATAGACAGAGGGATCACAGAAAAATATCAGAGTCCTAAAGGTCTGAAAAATGCAGACAAGAGTGATGCATCTTCTAGGGAAGATTTCTCTAGCACAAAAATTTTAGATAGAGGATTCACAAAAACATTTAGTGAGAAACCTGATTGAATTGATAAATCAATACAAGTAGACAATATCATGCAGCATTCTTTACAAAGAAATGATGTGGATATTTCTAGTAGACAACAGCTTAATCATTTTTATGATACCGAGGAAAGATCTTCTGATGCTCATGCTAAGTCTTCTGAAAGTGATCGTAGTCCCAATAGAATCACTGTTAATTACAGAGAAAAGAAAAGGAATGATGAAGATCAAAAGTCTGTTTCATCAGTTTATACACCTCCAAAGATTACTTCTAATGATAGAAGAAATATGGATATTATCAAGAAGTATGAGCACAAGTTTAGAAAGACAAGTGATAAAAGATGAAATTATTCTCCTGCTAAATTCACTTTCAAGACTATAGAACATCATAGTTATCCTAAAAAGAAATCTGAAATCAAAGGAGAGCCTCTTTCTGATTACATATCATCAAAGACTGCATTTTTCAGAACTGGAGGGTCTCCAAAGCAAAAGCGAGGGCAAATGTTCTCGCCAATATTGAAAAGAAACTGATCTATGATGCCAACTAAGAAATTTATAATAAAAGCTATGGTAGAAACTCATTCTTTGGATCAAAAACAGTTTGTGGCACTAAGTGGTAAAATGCTTGAATTTAATAAACCTTAGTTCAACTAATTCATATCTTTACGGGGTTTTGGGGTTTTGGGGTTTTGGGGTTTTGGGGTTTTGGGGTTTTGGGGTTTTGGGG